CAGCACACACGCCACGCACGGCACTACAACCAAAACACAAACTACAACACACACACACACATACAAACACACACCACACACACACAAACACACCAAAACAATCAACACACACAACACACACACCCACAACACACACACAACACACACACACACGCGCGCACACAACACTACACACACACACACACACGCACGAACACACGCACACCACACAAACACACACCACACACTACGCACGCACACACACACACACACACACACAGCCACACACACACACCCCACACACACACACCACACGCTACGACACACACACACACAGCACAGCACAACAAACACACACCACACACACGCATACGGCGCACGTGCACACACGCAGCACGACACACATCACACAACACACACATCACACACACATCACACATGATATCTGGTTATAATCTAGACATCAATAAATTTGTAATTCTATTTACTCCTGTTTATTATCATAATAGAACGCGAAGCGCCTGCGTTGCTGGTGGCGTAGTGCTGTGCGAGCGGATGCATGCATGCGAGCAGTGCGTGCGCGCGTGGTAAAATGCTTAATTGTGGTATGCACGCATATCGATGCGCTTGTGTGCGTGGTGCTTGCGCATCTGTTTTGTTTAGTGTCTCGGGTTGATAAATTGTTGTCACGTTGACATTCATGTTACGCTACAGCATTTGCTTTGATCTGATGACAGCGCCTGATCCGATTTCCAAGTTAACTACAGAGTGCACAGTTGTCGTGTAATAGCGTCGACTGTGTTGTCAATGGATACGTAATTGACAACGCTTTGAGAACGTAATGAAAGCGTTATATTGAAATCCGCTCTTAACACTAACCCTAACCCTAACCTAACCCTAACTACAGCAGTGACTAGTTGTTCGTGATAGCGTGTCTGCTGTTGTCAGATGAAAACGTTAACTTGACAAACGTAGTGAAAATCGTAATTGAAAGCGTAATGAAACGTCATCCTAAACCCTAAACCCTAAACCCTAACCCTAACCCTAACTACAGAGAGACAAGTTGTCGTAGATGGCGTCGCTGTTGTCAATGATTGCAATTGTTCGTCTGCCGCCTGATCAGTGAGTTGACTCGGCACGCGAATGTATGTAATACAAAATATCTATTCACACATAGAAATAGATAAGTATTTTGTTTATACAAACTAAACCGCTCTCATTATCCTTATTTCCCGGATTTGTTCCCAATACTTGATTGTGTAATTGACAGTTTCAAGCTTCCGCTCGACCGTGCATCCCGTGGCTACATATGGCTTAATTATAAATGCACAATGTGATTCTTACTGGATTACGATGACCGTGAGCTCGCTGACAGTTAAAAGCAATTTTGCTCATTCATTCTCTCCTCCTGACACATTACTGCTTTATCGCTGTTTCGTTATGCTATTAAGATTTTTCAATCCATTGCGAGGCTATTGGCGCAATCATTTAAATTAAATTGGTGTTTTTTGAAAAAATAGCACTGAACATCACCACGGTAAGCTTTTCGTATGTGAATCTAATCGTTTCGCGCGTAAACACATTTTGTCAACGTCATGTACGAATAATATATTTTATTATATATTAAACTATATTTATATTATAATATTATTATATGGGGGAATGCTCAGGATATGCCCGTTCGATGCGGAGTATACCACGTGCCGAGTCGAGTCCTATGCATTCACAAGCATATTCGCATACCAGTTCTAGCAATTTTATCGTATGCAAGTGTCACATAAATCGCTGCTACGCAGTGTTTAAATATACCGGCCAAAGTTTCATAACATCGGTCCATCGATTTATTGCAGGATGACTTCATATGTAAAAGCATGACATGACTTTTTACATTAATGATTACGGAAATATTTACGATGTTTCGCGAATTTTATTGATATTGACGTTGTTGTGTCTGTTTCAAAGAATGTGTCATTTTTTAGCGAAAGATGCGTTTTTCGAGAGTTAATGCCACTCTCTTTTCTCCACGAGCGTAGCAAAAAAATTGTCGCGAAGTTCATCGCTTTCGTGAGGATTTAACACGACACACGGAATTAAATCGAACAAAATCGAACGGACATAGTAGTCGAAATTATAGGAACACTTATTTCCACTTAAACAGACCAGGTTTACAGCTTACGATACTACTGCTGCACAAGTAAGCGATTTATGGCCATGCTGATAACAATAAATTAATATATACTGAAAACAACAGGGCAGGATAAATAGCCCGTACGTTACTCAGGCGTTGCGCTGTGCTGCCTCTGCTGCTGCATGTGCGCGCTGTTGTTGGTTGTAGCTGTCTCTGCTGCCGCTGTTGCTGTTGCTGGCTCCTGCTGGCTGCTGCTGCTGTGTGTGCTTGTGCTATGCTTCAGTAGTGCAAGGACATGTGCCTATATGTAACCCACACACGCGCCATGCGCGAATACCTGCGGACCCGCATGGGCAGCCGCGCACGCACACACACCACAACGCACACGGCATGCGCCGCAGCGTCTCCACCCATGCGCGATTCCAACTCCATCCTATCGCAACAGCAGTGCAAACACGCGATCCGTCGCCACCTCAAGTCTGATGTCTTACAGGTTGAGGCATCGTGTTGACCAAACCGAGCTTGGTCTCGCCTTCAGACGCGATGTTTTCAGTGTATTTGCGTGCAGGCGCTTGAATTTGTTATTTACCCATTAGAAAAGCAAAAAACTTTCCGCCTTAGACTTTTTGGATTTTTACATTAGCCTCGTGGCAATCTTTTGGCTGAATCCGACATAGCCATGAGCCAGACCAGATATTGGTACCGACCTGGGTGTGGCAAATTCTCACATGTTTCTTGATAGCCTTATATTCATAGATAAAAAACCAAAGTGAGCTCAACCAGATCCACAGCCTTAGTGGTAGTAATGACCTCTAAATGTGGAATGATCGCGATTAGACATCGGTCGGACCCAAATTTAGTGCGGTTAGGGAAATTGGAAAAAACTCCAATATATTTTTACGTAATTATCCAATTTGCTTAAAATAAGCACCACTCAAAATGTATGTGAAATTGTATTCCTTACACACTGATATAGGTTATGTTCATTTTCTGAGTGTTAGTGCGCCTTCCGCCGCGGACGTCAGAGAGGACGCCTTGCAAGCCAACGTATAGCGCAAGATGGCGGCCACCTGTCTGACGGCCGGCGGGTAAAGGCAGGTAAAGCGTTAAAGGCTTCAAGCAACGTTTGCATCAGTGGCCTGCCTTTTCGCGTGCCAATGCGTCGCGCAGTCGCCGTCTCTCTTTCTCTTTCTTTCTCTCTTCGCTCTCTCTCTCTCTCATCCTCTCTCTCTCTCCCTATTCTCTCTCTCTCTCGCGGCCTCTCTCTCTTTCTTTCCTGTCTCTCTCTCTATCTCTTATCTCTATCTCTCTCATTCAATCTCCCCTTTCTCTATCCTTGCTCTCTCTCTCTCCACGCCGACCCATCTCTAAGGTTCACCTGTCCTAACGAACTCGTTTGTGTAGCGGGACATCAAAGCCTGCCGCCTTAATGGTGTTGGACGTGTGCACACATTGAGACGCAAACGTGTATTTCGAGGAAGCCAATCGCCGCCCATGATGGTGAAAATAATATAGCAGCGACTATAGCAAGATGTTCAGGCAGAGACAGAGGGGGCAGGGGCGCAGCCGTCGGCCGCACGCGCTTGATGCTTAGCCGTGCGAACGTGTATGTAATTTTGCATCAAATTAAAATGATGCCGATATGCGACAAAAATACTCAACGAAAATCGCCTCACACGTGAGTAATTTGAACGCATGACATCATTTTACTTGAGTGAAAATTACTCACCGTTTGCCGCGCGGCTTTAGTGAATATGTGGTTGTAATTGGCGCCACGTCCGTGGTGGCGAAAAGACCGGTCACTCACTCACTTGCATCGCTCACTTTTCGATAGCCAAATCGCGAAAGTCCCGCCCGCCATATTGAGATCAGATAAGCAGGGGGGTAGAAAGCTGCCGTTTTATACGTATGGGTAGGATAGGACTATATCTAGGGTTTTTATCTATAATTCTCTTCACTACATCGTACTTCAATTCACAGACTATGCGGTTTTGGTTTACATAAACATTTACAAATATGTTACGGTCGATTCGTTTGGGATATTTTGCAATGATTTTGTGGTTATGCCAAAATACTAAAAACGCACGAGTGTTTACATTAATCATGTACTTTCCTAAGCGACGCTCGGCCATTTTATAACTTTTTTCTGTGATCATAAGCAGCGTTTGATTACGTAGCAGAAATCACGCCATTTAGCGTTCACACGAGGCAAATGCTTCGGTCAGGGGAAATACAGGTAACTAAACAGATCGCGTATTTGCATTGTAAATACGATGGCTTCCAGACCCCGTATAAATTTGCCGTGCTGAGAAAAATTACCGCATCTCTTGGACGACGCATTTCTCAGTCGTGTACTGCTAAAACACGGCATTCTGAAGCGGGCGTATTTATTAGACTGGTTCGCGCTCGACAGTTCCAGGTGTAACGCGAGTAAAAACTGGTCGAGCTGCGGGACCAGTCTACGTATTATTATCGGCAGTTGGTGCGCCATTTGCACTTTGTTTATTTCGCCTTGTACGCTTGTTAGTACTTAAAGTAAGCCTCGCAGCTCGCAATACGTATTTCTGAAGCGGCGACATCACGTCTTCGTGAACGTTCGGGGCGCGTATTGTCTCAGATTCGGTATTTCGCACAATACGTATTTTCCTAAATACGATCGGTCTACGTAGTGAACGCAGGCCCATATAACTGCCACACAGCTGAAATCGTTTACTCCTGAATCTAACCAGATATCTTTGTATGTGTATGTGTGTGTGTGTGTGTGCACAGCAATTTTAGGAGTAAATCACAAATTTATGAATGTTTACTCCTGAATCTAACCAGATATCTTTGTATGTGTTGGTGTGTGCACAGCAATTTCACCCAGCAGGTTTTGTCGAGGGAGTCCGTCACCATGACGACAACGAACGCGACGACGTTGGCAGACATGGCCGCCGCCACGTCACTTACTCTCGGCGACGACGAAGCGTACGGGTCATCGGTTGCTACGGTCGTCGGCGACTTCTTGACGACCACCATCGGCGACGTCGTCGGATTTCTGTCGTCGACGTCGAGCGGTGACGTCACCGAACGCGCGGGCACGCCGACCGGTGACGTAATGAATTTCTCGCCGCGAGCAGACGACGTATTCGCGTCGACGACGTCGTCGCCGACGAAGCAGACGCATCCGACGACACCGTTCGCGTCGATCGAGCGCAACGTCAAGTTGATCATCTACCGCGTCGCATTCCCGCTCGTCGTCGTCGTCGGCCTGGTCGGCGACAGCCTCAACGTCGCCGTGCTGTGGCGCAGCGCGCGACCGTCGGTCGGCGACGCGTTCTACACGCTGCTGCGCGCCCTGGCGGTCGCCGACCTCGCCGTCAACGTCGCGCTGACTCCGTCCGTTCTCATCCGCGCCGACGTCATCCCGTACCACACGGCGACGACGATGTGGTACTACACTCACGTCAACTTCTTCCTTCTGCGGACCCTCACGTGCGCCAGCAACCTCATCGTCGTCCTGGTAACGATAGATCGCTACCTAAGCGTCTGCCACCCGATGCGCGCGCGCCGCACAGCCAAGATGGCGGCGGTGGCGTGCGCATGCGCGCTGGCGGTGTCCGTCGTCGTCAACGTGCCGTGCACGTACGAGACGCGCGTCGTCGTCGTCAACGCGACGTACGCGACGTGGGGGTGGAACGCCGACCTGCGAGCAAGCGTCTTCTACGCCGACGTGTGGCCCGTCGGCCGTGAGATCATCTCCAAGGGCTTTCCGCTCGTCTGCGTGCTCGCCTTGAACCCGCTCATTGTGCGCGCGCACCGCCAGCTGCTGCTGCGACGGAGGCGGCTACAGCAGCGCCGCCCGGCGGCCGCCGAGCCGCGCGACGAGCCGCAGCTGCTGCGTCTGCTGCTCTCGCTCAGCGTCGCGTTCGTCGTCTGCGCGCTGCCGTCGGCCGTGCTGCAGGCGCTCGTGCGACTTCGGCCGCACGCGCTGTCGACGACGGCGTTCTTCGTCGCACTACACGTCACGTACTTCGTTGAGATGTGCAACTACGCCGCGAACTTCTATCTGTACGGCGTCGCCAGCGCCGACTTCCGGCGCCGCTTCCGGGAGGTGTTCGCCGTCGGTGGCCGACAGGTGGCGCCAGCGGTCCCGAAAACTCCGACGACGGAGCGGATCCAGATGGCGTGAGAAGTCCGGGGGGTGGGAGACTGAGGATAGCTCTATATCGTAACATCACTGTATATCATTCTGTATACGCACTGTGCGGTAC